CTTTATTAGATAACGTCAAATCCTTGCTGCGTTATGTGGAAAATGACAATAAACAAAATTTGAATAAGAAAATATCTAAAAATTATGGATCTAGCATTCTTAGAAATTTTATTTGATGATTTATTGAACAATATCAAATCCTTACTATGCTCTAGACAAGATTTCAACACGAGCAAATTTGCACTAAATATGTGGTTATTCTTGATGATGAATCCATTATCTGAAAATCTATTTTGCAAATGTGTGTAGTTTAGTTCACAATTGAAGCCTAATATGTGGTGATAGCAGTTGCAGAAAATGAAACTATTTGATTGAATAGATTATTTATTGAGATGAGATTAAAATAGAAGATTCTTAATCTGTACTGTGATAATTGAAATATGTTTATTTTTTATACAAATCAAGTGATAGACAAAAAAGAAACTATCTGAAACTCACATATCACTTTATCAAAAATATAACTTTTGATAAAAATATTGAGCCAATAAAGATTGATAATAAGCTTGATCTAGCTGATTCGTTGATCAACGTTTTTTTTGGTTGAAGAGTTTGAAGAGACATTGTGCAACTTTGCAAGTTTTGCATGAAAAGCATAAGTAGATTTTAATATCCAATTTTTTTTCTCCATAGATGTTTTTACTCTATATTGTTTTGGCTAAATTTTAAATCTATTTAGCTTCAGTCAAAGAGTCATATATGTTAAATTTCTTTTCTAAAACCTTTTGTAAAATAATTATATATGTTATTGAGGTAACGATACTCACGACATTAGTTTAGGGAGAGAGTTTTAGGAGTTAATTCAAATCTTTTAGTTTCATAAGCTTAACCTAACTGAGTGAAGTTGATCAAATTGACTAGATATAAGATTATTCACAAAATTTTTTGATCACATTTTTAATAAAACCTTAGGTGTTTCATGGATGTAGATCATACGTAAAAGACATATGTATGATATATGTTGTACTTGTGCGTGTGCATTTTTGTGTTGACATGTGTATATGTGTGAGTGCATTTGACGACTGTGTTTGACTTTTTTTGGTTGAAAAATCTAACCATTCCTAACAAGTTACTAAAGATCTGATAATTTGTAGATTTTTTCAACTAAATTGATTTTATTTATTAAATTGATAATGCATAAAAAAGTATGAAAATAAATTTTCACTAGTTTTATTTTAATTTTTTAATCTTTTATATTGGTCAAAAAAATTTTATTATGTGATTATCCATTAATATTGTTTATATTTTTGATCAAGTTCTTTGATATAATCACCTAATGATAAGATATTTTTCAAAAAAATAAATTCTCTTTTATTGTTATAAGATTGAATGTTAATGCTAATAATTTCTTTGTGATGTTGCAATAAGTTGAAAGAACTACATAATTTTTTGCCTAATGAAGATTCAACTATGTTCATATATCATTATCAAAAAAATCGTTGAATATAAACATGACTATGGAACTACACTAATATTGATTTATCATTATTAAAAAATTTGAAATGTTCAATGAGTAATTACAACAAAACCAACTATATATTCATGTTCATGTTAAACACAAGAGAGTAAGTATGTTTTCATATAGTATGCTCAGGCATGATTATTTTAGGCGACCTTATGCCATGGCGCCTAAATTACCTAAATATACACTCACTTTGGTGCCTAAATTAACCTATTAGCTAAACTCTTATTGGCTCAGAACTGGAGCGTGATAGATCGGGAGATCTCAACCATTCAACTTGTTATCATGTTAGTTTCATAGTTCACCGAGTTAGAAAAATTAATTTACAACTCCGGACTTTTCTTTCTCCAAGTAAACTCACAGTAGGATTGCAATCCTTATCACTCTCTTTCCAAACCCTTCATTAGTTCTCAGTTACACTCGATGTGACTTTTAGCACAAAAGCGCCTAATTATCTAAATTTACTTTCTTTAAGCGACTAAATTGAGCAATTTAGGTGATTTAAGCTACCGACTAATATAACCATGCCTGTGTATGCTAATCCATCACATCAATCAATGGTTACATGAAGAAGTGTTAAATACCACATTAATAAAATCTGAAATCACTCATACTTTTCTAAATCGTATCTCATGTATACTACACAGAAAGATGAATGCATAAAAAAAATCCAACCTATAATGTAATCTTTGAGATTAATCACAAAAAATTATAAATCATTATTATGTATATAGAATTATAGTTTAGATTTGAAAGGGAAGTTGAATATCCATATAGAATGCGTCTGTTCGCTATGTTGAAGGTGAAATCTGGAAAAATGTATGACTTGGAACACTGCTGCGACAAAACAACAACAGAGCATATGAACACAAAAGGCAAGGAAAGAGAACGATGGCAGAGTGAAGAACCGCCTAGTCGCCATAAATATCGCTGGGACGTCATCCCCGAGTAGCCGTTTTCTTATTCCGGGTTCGTTGTCGCTGTGACTAGCGAGGAAAAGAAAGAGACTCGTAGTCGTGTACACAGCCGAGCCTGCGAGGCCCGGGCGGAGTGGGGACGGACTTCTAAACCCGGATCCGGACCACCAGTTCGTCAGGCTGGAAAGGTCGGTCCGGGGGCGAAAGAGGCAAGTGAGGACGAAGGACATGCCGGAGCTTGCGGTGCGGACAAGTGTTGTCCAAATAGCGAGCTTCCCTTTGTCGTGGCCCGCTCTGCCCGACCCAAACATCGTCACGACGTCAGGACACAAGCGACGAGTGCCACTGCGCAGGCTTCGCTGGAGCACCAATGCTCGCTGTCTTTTGACCTGGGATCAGAGGGAGAGGGGGAGGGGGAGGGTGAGGGCATGGGAGGGCCAGCCATGGAAAACATTGTCCATGTCGTCGATCGCCAGCTCGCTGCTGCTGCTGCGGCTGGATCGTTCAGGAGGAATGGAAAAGGCGTTTCGCGTGCGCAGGGCTCGGATATTGTTAGAATTTCGGTCGACAGCTGCGAGACGTGGAAAGTTTGAACGACTTGGCAGGACGTGGAAAGTTTGTACGATGAGGAAGGAGGGAAGGGGAGGTACATCATCGCAGGATTAGAAATTCGCAATGGAGGATAGAATCGATCTTGCCGTACTTGCTGGCTCGTCTTTTCACCCTCTTCTTCTTCGTCCGCTTCTACTTACTTCCCTTCCCTCTCCGGTGAGATCGGAAAGGCGAAAAGCTCTCTCTGATGATCGGCAGATCCTCGTCTTCCTCCTCGCCCTCCAGGATTTCTCCGACTATTTTTGTAAGAGAAAGCAAGTGCGTGCGATCTCTTCAACGCACGTCTGGTCAACTCGCAGAAGTCGATCATGTCTCATCCAGACTTTTGACCGAATGCGGCGATCTTTTTCGTACTACCGGACTCGCCAAAAGTCTAGCTCTAACCCTCTGCAAGCAAGCGTGCTGGTATCTTCCGACATAGGAGGCCAAAGCTCGGCGCCTTTTCAGGTGCTCAACCAACACCGAATCCTCCGAGATCAGGACAAGCCCAGCTCCCCAGCCCGGCCAACTTGATGTGGACGCGATTGGATCGTCTCCTGTGGGCGATTGCGCGAGTCGGCAATCCGGTTTCATTCGCTCGTCTGGGAGCTTGGCCGACCCGCCGAGAGGTTTCAGTCATGTAGGTTAAGCAATTCGGCCCTCGGGTGAGGGTGGTGGGATAGTTAGCGCGAAGTGTTAGCGGAATGTGACCAACGCGCAATCGAGAATGCTGGAAAGTGGCCTTCGTCGAATCGCTCCGTGATTACAGGCCCGAGTCATCCGCCTGACAGCTTCTCGGGCCCGCCACAGCGAGTCGACGAGTACGGTGGAGCATTTCGCCCGATGTAGGCACACCTGGACGATTCAGGGTCGTCGTCACGCGGAGGCTCGCGGGAGTCCTGGGAGGCAGAGAGGTGCGCCGTGCTGTACTGCGCGGCATAGCTCCAAGTCCACCCTCCAGAAGGAGATGGCGGTACAACTCCGATCATGGTTTTCCTCGCACGAACTTGCTCGTGCTACTTATCCCACCACTTGGCGCATGTCCTACGTATTAACGCCAACTGCAGTGTCCATCGTTCATCTGCTCTGTCCCGTTGTGGAAAAGGTCGGAGCACCATTGACTCCAGCAGTGTACGAACCACTTCGCTGCTGTTTCCATGCTGAATAATTTATCGAGGACGATGGGCACGACTTCACGGGGACCCCGAGTATACTTGCGTTGTCGAATAGGACACAGACGAAGCTGCGATAACCCTTGAGATATACGCACATGTGTGACCCGGATGCAAGTTTGCAATGAAAGCACCTTCCGGCCGTAACTCTACCACTCGAGCTGGAGGAGTAAGACAGAAGCATATGCATGGACAGGTTGGGGATGATTAGTACTGCTAACTTACAATAGGACCAGTTGATCCTCGTTTAGGTCAAACTAAACGAGCATCGTTTCATTTGGCGTCACGTTCAGACATCGGCTTCCCGTTGCCTGCCAAGTGAGTATACAGCCTTCTCCCACATCAGCAGAGCTTACTGTCCCGCAATTAGCCGAGGTTATTTTCCGCAGCGCGACGGCAGTCAGAAGACAACAAAGTCCCACTTGAAGAATAGCCTCCGAGGAAAAGGATATCTCCGAATTTGAAAAAACTCGAGAGGAGTGAAGAATACCAGATAGGAACCATTCGAACTACGGGGGCCCATGGAAAAGTCGATTCTGAGAATCATTCCTGCCTGCCTACCTCATGACTCCTTTTTCAACCGGTACTGACGGATAGAAGAATTTCGAACAGTTTAACGCTGCAGGGATACATCATAGTCGTGCTACGAATGCAATTTATAGTACAGTGACAAACCTACGTTTAAACCTTGACTACAATAATACAGGAATGGTGACCGACCAGAATTTGCTCCGCAGTTGGGCAATTCTGTGCGAGTGCAGAAATTTCCGACAATTCCGGTCCGCAAAAATCTCCTCTCAACCTATCGCCGCCTCATCAAAAATCAAAATCGACGAGCAGCATACACAATGCAAAGACATCGTGGGATCATCAAATACATCCGCCATGAGTTCAATTCAACTGCGAGAGTGATCCGAGGAAGCAAACAAAACTTGCCTCACTTCAAAATCAGCTTACAGGAACTGAAGGGCTGACCGGATAGGAATAATTATACGTAAATGTAACGTTTCTGATTTCATAACAGTTTTGTATTCTTTCTGCAAAGGATTCTAACCTTTCGCCCTTCTCTCTTAATACTTGATGTTCCTGTGCATACTCACATCCTGCCATGCCATAATCGAGAACCGACTCCTCCCCTTCTCTGCCTACCCAGCCTACTGTACACGGTGAGCCTGAATGTAGAAGCACCATAGCGAGGCAAGTCCAGATCCCATGCATCCACGTCCGATCAGTCTGAGGACACTAGTCCGACCCTCGTGGCCGACAGCATGAGCGCATGTCAACGAGGGGAGGGTTCGTGGAAGACAACAGGCTGACCTCTCAATACATAACTACACGACACTTCCCAGGAGAGCATGCGACGGATGGCAGTGGGGAGTTTACGACTTCTATAAAGAGTTCTGTGCCAACAGACCCAGCTTCGGCGAAAAACGTGTCAAAAAACGTTTTCAAAGAATTAATTACCCAAGACCTAGAGTTGTGATGTTACTATACACGGCACAGCCGAAAGATAAGTAGCCGATGATTCGCTTTCGCTTCGGTTAGTGCTCAATAATCTTATTATTGAGTACTGTCGTCCGATGGAGCCTTCCTCATAATGGATTGAATAAATCTATAACGTAATCAGATTGTTACGACCCCGCAGAAGTCGGGGTTGATCGACCGGATTCGTCAACCCACTGGGATTCTTCACGTTCGACGCTGGTTCCACTATCTTTTTCACCGCATAAGTTTCCAGATTCGGATGCTGGTACCCGTACATCTGTAAAATCTGATTGTCTGCGAAGTTGAACGCTCGCTCCATCTGCTTCGTGCATCTCTCGGCAGAGTAGTCTCCCGAACTGCCGTGGCACGGCTTACATCCGACGAAGTGTGTAACGAATGGCCACCGGTCGTCTCCGAATCCGGGATGATACTTTTCCATCAATTTCTCATAACTCTCCACCAGGATGACCCAGTACCCGTGCAGGAAGTAGGAACTCTCCAGATAAGTCTTCTCGGCCCACTTCTCCTTCTGCGACAGGAGCAGGTAGATGAGTGCGGACTGGTCGTCAGCTTCGAATTCAGGTCTCCCGTCCAAATATTTCGTCAACAGCTTGCCACCTTCCGTCCTGGGCTTGCCTTTGGGGCCATAAGGAGCCCAGGCGTCCAAGATGTCCAGAGACCATTGACAGTTCCGAATGAGGAAGCTTCCCGTGTTGAGACCAATCCAGCTCCGCTGCTGGTACAGCAAGTCATACCAGCCGTGCAAAACCATGTTGTGGTTCTCGTATTTGTCCATGGGAAGCTCGAACTGCATGTCGGTGAAGAACGCGTCACTGTCCATCCACCAAATCCACTCGATCTCCGGGTGATTGAGCATGAGCTTGCGCAGAAGCGGAAGCTTGGCCCAGAAACCCGACATTTCCATATCGAGATGAGCCATGTTGTAGAATATCTCGATATCGTGAAGGCGGCAGTAGTCGACTTTGTTCTTGAGATTCTTCAGGATCAAGTAGTCCCCCATCGGGTTGTCGCAAGGTTTAGGCTGAGAACCCGACACTAGAAGGATGCGCGGCTTGCCTGTGTTGGTCCGATTGGCTCCACTGTTTTCTGCCATGTAAGCAGCTCGTTTCTGGTCCCAATCAGTTATCTGCTCGCCGAGCGTGTGATGCACTGTCTTGGGATCAAAGTATCTGACGGGATCGAAATCTTTGTCGAGAAGCGCCCTGTGACTCCTTTCATAGACCTCATCGGATTGATACTCCATCATCGTCCTCGAAGCGCGATCTCTGTGGCCCCCTGGGAGTCGGTTTCTCAATTCATTCAGATCTTGGGCCGGGGTGCCGAATTTCCCAGCACCCAGTGTACCCCTCAATACTAGTATGGTGACGAATCCACATATGATAGTCACTTGAAAATTGTGGAAAGTCTTCTGTATGCGACGTACTCTCGGACCGCTGAGGATCGAGTTCACACTCCATGATGATCCCGATTTCATCTTTAGCAACCAACCCAATTTGTTGAAGCTTTCTTGCTACCTGCAGGTGACACTGCAATTTATGAAGAATCTACTGATCAGACGGCACCCCGCGCAGCCAGAAGCGGCACCGAGGGGTGGCCCAACTCCGACCAACTTTCTCTCCGACGACGCTCCTCGGCCGCATCGACGACAATGTGGGCCTCTGCAGTAAAGCAGAGCCTCTCGGCCTCTCAAGACGTCCAATGTAGCATCCGTAAACACTGTCTGTGAAGCCAATTTGGCGGTCTACAGCCGATCCACTCGACAAAGAATAGCTAAAGAAGATCGATGATCGAGCCCAAAATCTCCAGCAACTCACTCGCTGACCGAACTCCTCCTCCCGGCTCCTTATCTCGCACGCCCCCCGGTGATGACGCGATGCCAAGATACTTCCAAGCAATGCCTTGTCGAGGCGAGAGATAGTGGTACTAGAGTAGCTGTGAAAGATGCGTCCAGACGAATGGGAAGGGGAGGCGAGGCGCAATGTTCAGTCACAGGCCAAGCTCTACCGATGCAGGAACTAAGACTACCAACTCATTCGAAGAATAGAGACAACGGACACAAAAAACTTTCTTGGCGCACGAACACCCGAACGAAGAAACGACCACACTAGTTTTCTTTTATCGGACTGGCCCTGCCTCTGTCTCTCCTAGATGTCTTTCTGTCGCCCTCCCCTCGTCCGAACCTCCCTGACAATTGCCTCCGGGGCTCCTCTCCAAAACCGCTACTCCAAACAGCAGCAATGCCAACAGTGATGCCTCTCTCGACACTTCGAGAAATCGACAGAAAACCCACTGACTGATCGGAGGAATGAATGGGTGTAGAAATCAACTGAAAATGAAATCTTCGCCTGCTTCCCTCGTTCTCGCTCTCTCACACGCTCTCTCTCTATCTCTCGCGCGCTGTGTCCGACTGTCTGGCTGTCTTGTCTCGTCTTGTGCGTCGGTCGGTCGGGCGGTCGGTCTGGTTTGTCTGACTGACAGTAATGCCAGCCCCTCGCGAGCTCTCTTCTCAGGCAGAGAGAACCTCCCGCATGGAGTCTCCTGCAAGAAAACAAAGCAGCAGAGGCCCAGCAGACTCGTCTCTGAGGTTAACGCTCCCGGTGGCAGCACTCTTTAGACTGGCCTCGCGCTGCACCTTTCTCTCACTGCTGCTCGCCGCCCCCTTTCAGTCCCTCCAATTCTGGCCCCGCCCATGCTCGTCCTCCTCCTCCTTGTGGCGCCCATCGCTGCTGCTGCTGCTGGGTGCCGATGGCGATGGTCCCAATCGCACTCGCAGCGACGCCCCGCCCGCCCTTTACTGCTCCGCATCGAACGGCGCCGCCCGCCCGCCCGCCCTGCCCTGCCCTGCCCTCGCGCAGTCCTCGCGCTTCTCCCGCGCTCGCCCCCGTCGCGCCTTCGCAGCCCGAGTCGCAGGGTTCCTCTCGTTCCGCCTCCGCTTTCGGCGCTGGAATCTCGCCCGCGAGCGTGCCCGATCGACAGCCCGCAGATGGTTGCCCGCGCACGCGCCTCATCCAACGGACGGCGTCCTTCGGTGCCTTTCCTCACTGTGCTGGGGCTTCGGCGGTCAGATCGAACAGTCCGCAGTCCAGTAGTCGCGGCGTTGTAGGTTGGCGTGCCCACGCGCTTAAAGCGAGTGGCCAAGTTCTCTTTCGGGCGACGTCTGGGGACGGAACCCCGATGGCAAGTCGCAGGTTCCTTTCACTTCTCTCCGCCGAGGTCGCGCGACAGGGAGCACCTCAGCTGTCACTGCTTTGGTCGAGGTTTCGTGAGGCTCCTACGATCGACGTGGATTCGGCTGGATGGGGCCCACCTCGCGACTTCTGCAAGGTTACCGCGGCATCATAACTTCTACGTCGCAGAGGTTGTCGGCTGGCAGAGGGCGTGGCCGTGGCCTTGGGCGGGATCTTTAGACCAATACGATCGCTTCTTTCCAGTTTTCCGTAGACGTCGTAGAGATGCGGAGTCCTCCCACGCAGCCGCGGTACGACGGAATCTATCGGCCAATGGGTGAGCTAGATTTGCAAGAATCTACGTCCCTTTCCGAGACGTCGTAATCTCGGGTCCTGTCCGAGATCTCACAGCATGACGAACAACGTGCCGTCACTGGATTTACAGGCCAATAACGAGTCTGAGCGGCCACGACGGCCAGACTTCAAGAAACCCAAGAACGACTCCCGCGTGCCCAGCTCGCGCCTTGGGACGACTACTGCTCCCGTTCGGAAGAGGGGAAGAGTCCCGGTCGCCGCTTCACGCGCCTCCCAATGATCCATCGCTCGATCGCTCGGCGTCTTGGACCGACCCGTTGGACATACCGGCCGTTTTGGAACCGCCTTCGTGTGCATCGTTCTGCAGTTCTCGGATCGACCGGCCGCTCCGGGATCCCCTGTGCTATTAATGTGTCCAGTGGCCCACCCACAAGTAGATTCCAGGTATCTTTGTACCACCGCTGCTGAAATTACCGAAAATCGTGCGATCTGCTGTTCGTTCTTCGTTTTTTGCCCTTTCGCTGTTGCCCGTTCTTCGTCCCGAATAGTTCAACGCGAAGAGCTTTTTCGACTCTCGTTTCGATTGTCCTCATTTCAAATCGCGTCCCTTGCCTTCCATGCATTCCTCCTTTCGATGTTAAAAAAAAAATTCGAGATGAATTGGCATTCACTTTTGGCATATCTCGTGGATGTAAAGTTTTCGAGAATGGTTCCTTAGTCTCGGATCGCCTTTTGTTTGTGGGATAGAGTGAAGTGCTTTTGGAGTTTGGAAGGAGGTCCAACGACGGGGAATGGAAGATCCTGGTCCTTTGCTCTGCTGAGCTGGTGTTCGTTAAATACCGAAAGGCCAATGCTACCGCGTTTGTCAAACGAAAGAGACTACCGTAGGTATACCAGGTAGGCGCAGGCCTGACAGTTTGGACCGCCACACCTTTTGGCCTTGATATGACTTCAGACGGCTTCCAGAGAGTTTTCGTGTCGGTAAACGACGCAACTTCAGACTTACATCCACACTGTGATCTACGACATTGCGTGCTTAGATTGCATCCTCGTGAGTTGCAAACCTTTTACCACGCCCAACGTAACTGCTGGTCTAGGTGGAGTAAGAGTAGGGTTCCTGTGGATATCTATTTTATGTAGACCGACCTTCGCTGTTAGATATTTTGATCTGCATTGAGTCGACGCCAAGGCTTAGGGGAATTTTGTGTTTTTACAAGACTATATTTTGCATGGATGCAAACTGCAATACGAAATGATGTCAAAAACTTTAGTGATTTTAATACCTGTCTTTTTCAAGTAAAATAGATTTTCCAATAATTTCCGGTATTTCAAATAATAATCCACGATTTGGGATATCAGATCGAAGAGATAAAATAGAATGGCAGATGGTCCGAAGCCCTGATTGAATTTTTTGTTCCTAAACCCATAAATTGTCTTCCTCCTATTCAAATGCAACTTATTTTGCTTCCTCATAAAACGCGACTTACTCTTTCAACACTCCTCAAATAGCTAGGGGCATGATTGGGTCGGAGGTCACTCGACAAGTCAGACGCTTTCAGTAGAAGATAGACGAGTTGTATAACAGCTCATCACCAAATTCGCTGGGAATTGGTTGCAAACATTGTGAAGGAGGATGTACATGTGGATCGATGTCAACGTCACGATTGCTTTCTATCAATCAACCAGTGATGGTAGTGAAAGACGGGGCTAGGGGTATTGTGAGGGGAGAGTCGGCTTCCTGCCAATACTTATGACATGTAAAAAGTTAAACCTCCAATTGACATTGCACACCCTACAATGCATCTACATGTTTGGTTGGATGCTTGTATGCTTGACATCTTCTCCTAAACATCCTGATGATTATCTATTATATACTACGTGTTCATCATTCGAAAAGCATAGAATATACCTTCTAGTAATCGTGCAAAGACGGAACATATTCACACATATGTGACTCATCGAACCTTGAAACCATAATCTACTCTTGGAACGGCTGAATAAAGAATTGTGTTGAAATTACTTTGATTAGTGCTATTTTTTATCTCGTTCACAAATTTTCACATTAAGACGTGTAAACATATATTGCATTTTTGTCATCTGCACAGAACAAAAGAAGAGAGAAATTTTTCTACACAAAAGACTACTACATTATAACTTAAAATTTCATTTTTCAATACCTACTTATGTCACCAAAAACTTTCTCTAGCTTCTTTATATGGCATTATTAGCTAATTCATTTCACTATCATAACCAAACTAATCAAATTCAATAAGATTTTGAATTAACAACTAACAATCTATTTTTGACTCATGTCTTGGTATTGATAATCTCTAAGATCATTCTGAGGTTGATTCTTGAAAGAAAACTTGAATAAACCTCTTTGAGTAGGAATAATGTAACGCATATTTGAAACAAGATAACTTTAACTCAATATATATATATATATATATATATATATATTACACTCTACATATGGAAAAGTAGCGCAATGTTTTATTGTATTTTTAGTTCATGATTCAAGTGAATTCAGCACAAGGCTCTTATCAAAACAAATTATTCGTGAGAAAACTATATATTATACAGACTTAATTCACCATGATGTACATTGCAATATGTAATGCACTCTCACTATCATAATTAAAAAAACGAGTGTAGTGATTTTAATGTATATAGACCCAACACACACCCACTCCGTGATATTAGTGATATACACCCAAGAAATACCACGGAGTGGGTGTGTGTTGGGTGTATATACACTAAAATCAATATCACTATAAAAAATAACATCACTTTGTTACAATATGAATTCATCAATAAATATATTCAACTAAAAAAATTTTCTTATCAGATTTAATTGAGCTGTTAAAATTATTGAAATAACTGTTTAACTGATGTATTCATCTAGAAACTTAAAACATATCAAAATTGTAGATTAATCTTCTGCTTATCTAGTTCATAAGTATTTTCAATTTAATTTAATAGTATTTTTGCATGTTTCATAATTAATGAAATCAAAAAATTCGTGTTCTTTTAAGATGCCTTAAAGTACTTATATTTTCCATGCAATTTTTTCATTTGACATAATTTTTATTAGAAACTAATATATTCAATATATTATATTTTGTATAATAAAAGAATAAATTATTTACTTGTTGTCATATATATTATTTGATAACCAGTATTATCAATTAGAAATTAATTTTTAGATCGCTTCAAACGTGATTTCAAAGTCATCTAAACTATTTTGAATACTTGTATAATAATTTTATGAAAGAAAAAGTCGACTTGATTTAATTAAATCATTGATAGTTTTTTTAACATGCATACACGATATTTACTTTGAATTTGTCCAGATTTTCACCTTGAATGTACATTTGGATCAATTTTACATCTTTAAACAGCTAATTAATTTTCATCAATATAATTAAATATTTATATAAAGGTTTTCACAAATCCAACTGATTTTTTTATATAATTTTTGCTTCTTGAAAAAGACTATATAAAGTTTATCTGATTTTTTTCAAAACTATATATCAATGCATAATGCAATTAAAACATATGTTTCGTATTTTGATACAAGTGAAAAACTTTGCTTCAGTTCATTAAAGTTTTAATGTAAAGTCTTTTACAATCATTCTAGCTTAAATTTTCCTTCGCATTCATTTTCTGAATAATTTTCATATTTGTACATTCATTTAATAATTGTATTTTTTTTTATTGTTGTACTAGCTTTCAAAACTTTCTAACAATTTATCAATTTTATCTTATAATGTGCTTGTTATTATTATTCTAAAATTTGGAATCAATCATCTATTCTTGAACATAGACATAACATATGAATATTATTATGTCTACGTATATTTAAATGAAATATTTTTTATGATTTGAATTATTTGAAAAATAGTCTCTCTTCATAATTATATGCATCTAAAATATTAAGATACATCAAAAAAATCTTGTGTAGAATAATATTTAGCATTTTTAAAAATTAAAACAAGATCATTCAACATTATAAACTTCACATAATTCAGTATTTTTTATTTGACACAAAAAAAACAATTATTGTCAAAAACATATTGTTAAATACAAAATAAAATGTGTATGCATGGACTGTAGTATACAACAACAACAAAAATCAGATAATTCTTAGGATTAGAAGTCTTAGTGTTGCTATTTATCAATCTATGTCTTTATTGATAATTGAGCCTTATAAATTTGCTTTTTAGAAATTTTGTAATTTTTTTATGATTTTGCTTCAGCATGGTATATTAGATAAGAAAATAATATTTTTAATTAATTTAATGAGCCATTTTTGAAAATTAAGATATAACCTAGTGAAATGTTAACATTTTTCATAGTAATTATTGATTATCAAATTACTTCCATAATCTAATTCAATTTTTCAAATAATCAGTAATAACCATAATGATATCAATTTTTATTAAATGTATCTATAATCATTTGAATTTTTCAAAATCAAACATTCTACTGGCATATATTTTCTTTTTCTTTTTCTTTTTACATTTATGATGTATAAATATGATATAATATGCTGCAAATCTACTAAATCTTGAATTCAATAACTTCTTTAAATATCTGATTTTCTACTAAAAAAACAAGTTGCAAGCTGTTATAGTTTTTGTCTCACTTAGATATTATTTGATGATAAATAGTTATATTTATTATCAAATGCATTCATTTTTCACAAGATAAAAGTGATTTTCCATAATCAGGCTAAGTCTACAATTGTAAAGAATACATTTTTTGAAATTACTATTATATAAATAAATAATTAATATATCATTGAAAATTAAAATTAATTTTTTCATATAATGGCAGACGAAATGATCAAAATAATCACAAGTTTAAGAAGTATTTGAATATGTACATGATGACATGTGAAAATACTCTCCAAGATCATCATTCATTGTAAAATTAAACTATATATCATTTATGGAAGATTGTTCATAAAACTCTAAATAAACCATACATAGGTTAATTTGTCAATGATAACTCTTATTGTTAAGCAGTGTGAAATTTTCAGTACTCATAGATTAGAATTTGATACATGAATCATCTCAAATAAAGATTTGATATGGTTGATTTTTCACATATGAGAATGATTTCTAAATAGTTGTGCTTATATACTTTAGCATCATTTATCACATGCTTTCAATTTTGGTATTTTAGTATTCCTAGAAATAATTTTTTTTAAAATTCATGTGCCTTGGATTATGTTAAAAAATTATTCTTTATATTTTTAATTTTACAAATTTTATCATTTTTTATATAAACTGAATATTTTGAAGTAAAAAATAATTCAATGTAAAAAAACTATGCTAATGTGATAAAAAAAAAATATCTAAGATCCATACATACATAATCGATATTCAATAGTACATAGTACATAATCGATATTCTTTCATGAATTGCATATTTCACACATTTATCATTATATAACATCATTAAGCAAATCATACTAATCAAAAGTTACATTGACTAAAATATTTTTCAATCTTTAAACAACAATATTTTTTAACGTGAATACTCTTGCTATATATTTAACAGAATAATCTATTTCTTTCTATATTTCTAACAGCTTAATCTCTTTCTTTTTAAGGATTTAACATTGGACTAGGTTTCAATTCTAGTTTCAAAATGCTTGTCATGCTAATCTTGACATCCCCAGTCTAGTTTCAAGGCATCGGTCGAATGATTCCCGTTAACCAGATCTGGAAGTTGGTCACCCCACTCATTCTAGCCCTCCAAGCCTCCAATTTAGTCTCATTCTGGAGGGAACAGCCAAGTCACCTCTGCCTGATCTTCCAACCTGTGTGGACGGTGGGCTCGCAGATTTCTGATGACTATACTAATGTGACTTCCTAGTCGACGCGGACGAAGAAGTCTGAAAGTCCTTGCGGCCTCGGCGGGCGGATGGGTTTCGTGAGCATGGACTTTCGGTCCATCGTTATGTAGGGCATGGACTCCCAGTCCCTGTTTACGGAATCCATACACACACTGAGGACGCTGCTGCCTGGTAACCATAAGTACAGTATGGAATTGCCTCCAGGAGTCTTCCTGTGAGTCCTTGCGGCCTCAGCGGGCGGATGGATTTCGTGAGCATGGACTCTCAGTCCACCCTTTTGCAGCAGGGCATAGACTCCCAGTCCCTGCCTACGGAATCCATACACACATTGAGGACGATGCTGCTTGGTGACTATAAGTACAGTGTAGAATTGCCTCCAGGGTTCTTCATCTGAGTCATTGGTAGCACTCGTTCAAAGGAAAGGATGAGATCGTTTCAGTTTTTTAGACAAAGCCAACTCCTTATCAGACCGAGGTGATGCTAACTATGAACAATTTCCATACATGAAATTATCTATAAATGGTTGTGTAACACTCCATTAATTTTTGTGTTAGACTTCAACCAAAATTTGCCACATGCATTGTTTTTTGCAAACAATTGTTTCATAATTTATGGCAGTTTTATCACATTGAGATTGTTTGAGTTAACTATATTAACACATTACTTTTAAGTTTTGAAATCTTCCACTAGGGTTACATTCTTTATCAGAAGTAAAAAACAGCTACAAAAATCATAATTTTCTTTGCAAATAAATTTATTAAAAAGTGAAAAACTGCAAATGTATATGTCAAAAAACTGTTATGGTTTGACGATGAAAAAACAGCCAATCAGAGGAACAATTATCCTTCACATTCCATGAGAGTAAAGAACATGTCAAGCAATAAAATCAGCACCATTCCGCTCGAGACATCCTCTAACCGTAGCGAAACCATGAGTCTCCGCTGAGAGAATGCTGGACTCGCCAGTGAGTAGCATTTGAATTTGAAGTGTCGAGGCGCGCAAACGAGAGGTTCAACCTCATTGTTGGACAATAAGACAAACGTCGTCCTATCCGACTGAATTGTAGCTAGAACCAGAAACCCATTATATATTCCGTCGACTTTTTCTAGAATACCATCAGATTTGATATATACAAATTCACGAGAAAAGACAGGACAGCACGTCGAATCATTCATAAGTAACGACCAATTGGTATAATAAAGAACGGCTTGAATATATTGCCCAAGAAGACTACTGGGAGGAAAGTGACATAGGCAGTACATTCAGGTATACAAGGTAGTAAAGATAGCAACCGCAACGTTCTTAACACGGAAAAGGGCTAAACCAGATATGAAGGCAAGACAAGATTTGATCATCGATGCTACAAGTGTAGAAGGCGATACCAGATATGATTGCATGACGGTAAATATGCTCCAGGGCCACTCCTTCACTGAAGGACGAGCAGGTGGCAACTACAGAGACTTAAGTGTTGTTCAGGTCATTCTTGGTATACATACTAGATCTGACCACTGACAATAGCTTGTCCAAGAAAACCAAACATGCGTGGTACTCATATCAAGACAGTCCATGAGTACAACTCGACACATGACACAGGCGAATGACAATAACGTTTGCATGACGAGAAGAAATATGACACAAAGTATGATGCTCACACAACTTGCGACAAAGTCTTTACCTACGACATTTCCCCCGAGTCAATCCTTCACACCGACACATCTGGAACACAGGTCAAAATACACTAAGAAAGACAAGCACACAACAGAGCACTCATGCTAAGGATTTGACATAACACTGTACCCATCTACGGCACAATCTCTTCGATGATGCAGTATTGACTATTTCCACAGAAAAGGACCTGCGAGGAGGTTTGCCACAGGAGCAAAAAACAGCGCTTCCTTCGACAACATGAATGATCTAGTACTTGCGTAATCTTCCTATGTCAACTGCAAGCGGCCAAACGTAAAGTATTTTTCAAACAAAATGATTAAGATTCTCAAAATTACTATTTAAAACTTTGATCAAAAACCCTGTTTGTTTTTTACATAACATAAACATAATGGTATTGTTTAGAATTCAAAAAGAGGTTGTCTAAGACTTAAATCTATTTTTTTCAATTATTCTGGAGCTGTACGGGCTTCTTCTTTCAAGGCGAAGCCCAAGTGGTTCCAAGACACTGGTTGGAAACTAGAGAGCAGGACTTACAGGTATGCCCCGGAGAGGAGGGTTAATGTTCCAAAACCACATAAACACGGGGAGAGTCGTCTCCTAACACTTTGTAATCCCCGAGACAAGATCATTCAGCTTGCCTCAGATATGATCCCTTCCTGTAGTTCATGAAGAAGGTTGACAGAATAGCTGTTTTCCTCCAGAAAGACAGATATCACACTGAGACCTCTTGAACAGCCAAAAACAAAAAAAAAAAAAAAAAAAAAGCTCTAACCCGCGAATACGAAATCAAAATACAAAATCAGTTTGTCCTTGGTAAATCTCCACGTTTGGTACCTGTTGTCTCGCATTAGCAGAGTAGACAGAAAATGCAGGAAGCTAGAAAAGGACCAGAACATAAACACTTCGACAAGAAGCATCATCTCCGAATCCACACTTAATGCAAAAAAATCTGCTTACTTTTGTAAGTGCTCGTAAATCGGTGTTTACTTACGATTTATCAACCCGAGAACGAGGAACAGAAGCACCGGCAGACTTCACGTTTCTTGTAGTCCCGAGTCAAGCAAAAGTCTTCGAAGCGTTTACACGTTCTTTTAAAATTAAAAGAACATGTATAAGTCTACTGATTACAATACCCTTGCGCAGGCCAATAAATGTTAATTGGACTTTGCAGCTTATTTTAGACGAAACCTTGGGTAATTCGAAAGCATTTAAACTCCAAGCTGAAAGGTATAACTTCATCCAAACATTGTACACGTCTTTATAATATATGCCCCCAGTACACAAAGGTCTCATTTCACACCTCGCTGTTATGCTTAAATTAGAGACAAAAGACATAAGATTCCATCGGGATGTTGGAAAGATTTGAATAAGGAAAAATCGCCGTCATAGGTATTTAAAAGTGCACTACAAGGTCGCTACAGGCATCGAACGTCAAAACCGGGCATAGCTTTAGAGAAAGCAAAGAGACTTACTGAAAATCCAGAGCAGACAGGTTTGCTACCTACTAAAATTGTCACTGACGTTTGCCTGTTTCACCAGCACCCACAGATTATGTAACAGTTTCAACGTTAAGGGTAGGACATTGACAACATACAACATGCTTGAATGAGGGCAGCTCCAGGATGTGCAAGCAAAAGGAAAATTCCGCATCTGCACCCATGCATAAGTTGGAGTATCATGCACTTCACGTACCTAAACTTTTTCAACTGTCCTTCACTGACTGAAAATTTGACTTTCAACATTTGGCACATGTTGGAAATAGTGATTGCGTGACTACCCTACACCTCTCATAATGTTACAATAAATTCGTTGTGAACGCCAGCCAAAGGAAGTTAACAGCTCGTAATCCTTCACCTGTCTCGAGTTGATAGTAAACCGCTACAAACCCTCCTCTCAACATCTTTGGCTCGCTAATGTACTATGAGTCTACGAAGTAGCACCATTTTGAACTGTATACGAACATATGTCCACGCCAAACCTTCAAATGACTCCACTGGCAGGACTCAGCCTCGCAGCTTGGAACTATCACCAAGGAACATTACAGTCACAAGGCCGGTGATCTACAACAAAGACCCCACTATAAGCCCCTGCTAAATGGGGCACTCGAGTCTCCATGAGAAAACTTAGCCTGACTGGATGGTGGTGTTTAGGATAGAAGTGAGCACTCCCAAAACCAAAAAAGCCAACATTGGGCTCAAATCAAGAGCGTTGAAAAGTGGAGGAATGATGTTCCTAAACAAGTTCAGGTAAGGATCACACATGTCTCTCATGGCTTGAAGTGGCTGTCTCTCCCATGGGATGTTCGGGAACCAACTGAGAAGCACACGTACCATAAGAACCCCACTGTAAAGCTCCAACCACTTGGCCATTCCACTAGCCACCACGGTCAGAGGGGTGTTCACGGGCGCCGACTGAGAAATCGCAGCAAAAAATAAAGGGGCAGCAGCACACACCATCCTTCCCTTCAAAGCAGTCAGCAACTGCAACTCCTCTTCGCTTTGAGGCTTGAACTCGGGCAGCGCTATAGCATTCCCTAATTTCTCACCCATCTGACTCACGCTCTTCCTCAACGACTCAAGCAGCAGAAAGAATCCCCTGCCGAATTTCTCACCAACCGGCTGTTGCTCCTTTCCAAGATCAGCTACACCCGCAATCACTTTCAAACTTCTCGAACTTCTCAACCTTGGCACCGTCGTCCTTCGTGCGACCCACGAAGAACCCGAACCTCCGCCAATCCTCGCTCCCTGGCGGACGGTGCTTGCATTCACCCTGGACACCCCTGAGAAACACAAAGACGACGACGCCATCGACATCGCCACCGCCATCCTGAAATTCCTGTATGTAATCCACCGACTCTTGCAAGATTCAACGAGCAATTCGTGAAGGTTTGGGATCTCCCCTCGGTAATCTGAAATGCTCTTTCGCTGCTGCACTCTGGCGTGCCAGTGAGATGGGGTTTACTCGAAGGAGGAGGAGCAGGTGGAGCAGGAGCGTGAGAACAAAGAAACACGACTCTGTTGTGAGTGGATAGGCTTCGTTATCGGAGACAGACACATGGACAGCTACGTGGTACGACGGAACTCTCCTCCTTTCGCTCGCAATTTCGCTGGAAGTACCGAATCTACCATTTCGCTCGAAATTTCGCTGGGAGTACCGAATCTACCCTTTCGGTTTTATTCGGGCGACATCGCCTGCGCAATGTACACAAAATTGTGGTTGCCAACGTTCTCGTGAGTTCTTGCCAGAACAGAAACGTTTACCGTGTCGCCCCGCCGAGAGTTCGGAATAACAGGAAATTAAGCCCGGCGAAGACAAGGTCAAGATATCCAGAAATAAATAGCCAACAGGAAAGGGTGATACCAAACGGTTCGCAGCAGCTAGGCCCCCGACAAGTAGGAGGTCGATTAAATAGCAACAAGATGGGATGATCCCATCGAGCCGTACAGGGCAAGCCCGGCAAAGTACTGTACATGTAGAGAATCATGACTATAAAAAATAAAAGCCTGTTCGCTGATAAATTATGTGGACTCGGTTATCACTGATAACCGAGTCCCACGTAACTGATAACTTATCAGTTACGAGAGGTTTGGAACCGCCATCGGAATTTCCGGGGACTAATATATTTCCGTGGTAGTCATTACTTTCATAGTAAGGGGACGTATTTCCAGTAACTAAATTCATAAATTCATTCTCGCCTATCAATAAGATTACGCTATTCCATATTCTAAGAATGGATGTTTTTACCAGTTTCTCCTCTAGTGTCCACTCTTGACGTTTCATCCCAGGTAGCAAAAATTGGATAAAATTGCTAAAACTGCGAGGTATATACGCCACTAAAATGTGATATATGATAAGAACCAATACCAAATATCTTTATTTCATTTGAAAGATATTATTTGACAACTATTAGTAGTTTTAATCTCTCTTTTACGATCATCTTGAACGATGTTACAACATTTGTTTTACTTGAAAAGCAATAATATAACTAAAGATTACTCGTAATATGTATAATTCACTAATATGTGTGGAGAATAAATTGAAATCTTGAAGATACCTTTTCATTTTTTCAGAAAATTCTGAAGTTAATAAACCACAATGGTTTGAATTGATTAAAATTCAACATTTCAACTAAGATTGTTAGGCAAATTGTTCGAGTGAAACAAAACACTGAAGACAGTTTATCTGAAGATCTGCTTCTTGTAATGTTTTATGTAATGTAGTTTTTCATATACAGAACGATTACAACTTACATCATTGATAAATATAGGATTAAATAAAAACATGCATAAATCATGACTTAAAATATTTAAAACTTTTCGAATTAAACATTCTATTCATAAAAATCCAATTGGAAATACTCATACAAAAATTTGAAATTTATTAATCATAAATTAACACACAAATTTGAAATAACTTTTTTCTTAACAGAATTAAAATTATTTATTGTAACATTCTTAAATTCTCAATGTATTAAAAGATTTCTTAATTTGATACATTTCTAACTAGTTGATCTGTGAATGTCATAAATATAAAAAAAAATTATTTAAATTTATTTTCAATATTATATATTTTTTAATAAATTCTAAAATTTGAATTTTTAAATTTTTTTTAAATAAAAATATTTAAATTCCATTTTCTTAGCTAAATTAATATCATTATCGAATCAAAAATTTTACGACATTACAAAAAAATGAAATAAAAATAAAGATATGTGAAATTGTATGAATAATGTTTTTATATTATATGACTCAATTGAATATATATATCAATAGACGGTCATGATGAAATTTTATAAATTATTCTATCTCAATGTATTTTAAATAAGAAGTTTATTGAACAAAATAAACATGCTTCTACATATTTAATTTGTATAGTTGATCAAGCCATAAGACTATACCAACAAAAATGATATATTTGTGTTCAATTGATAAAACATATAAGTTTTGATTCATTTTTGTGAAACTTTGTCCACTATGAAAATTATGAAAATCTACCGATGATATTGCATTATAAAAAAATATTATTAAAATAAAAATATTTTAAAAATATTTGTCATAATATGATTTAGTTTTAAACAATTTTAATTATAATTTTTATAGAAAAATTTGTTAGTTTTCAACCTTCATTACTGAAAAATGTTCTTAGTTTTGATACATAATATCATCTACATAAAGGTAGAAAATCTGTCATATAGAGTATATGGTTCTTCTTATATTCACTTGCATTAACATGAATTAAGCTACTAAAAGTATAGATTGTGATGCACAAAATACATCTTGTTTCAAGTTTTGACATACAAAATTATGACACAAAGTTGACTATAATAAAATTATAGTAAATTGTATTGTGATGAATAACTATACTATTTAGTGTAACTAGAAAAAATGTTAATTTTCGTTCAAATTGAACATTGTTAATTAATTGTTTTATCAACATTTTAAATTCTAACAAACAATTTGACTTTATGTTCATTTTGATTGATTTTTTTCAGTATAGTATTGATATTGATTACATGAAATCTAAATTTCAATTAATTTTAAAGTGACATTCTAAATTTTGTAAGATTTTCAATGGCATGTGATATTTTTGATCTCAAAAAGGCTTAGAAAAGGTCTATGTAGGTCAAGGATATCTTGTAAATTTATATTTTTATGATTATTGGTGATTATATTCAAAATAATAAATAAAAGTAAGTTTCATATTACCTATTATAATATATCATGCTATATTTTGAAATAGTTAAATAGAGAGGTAGAGATTGGAATGCTAAGCAATTTCAAAAAATATAATTGTATAATTACTTGTTTCATCAATACAATTTTTGATTTTCAAGTTATATTAGAATGTATATGAAAATTTGTGTTGAGTAACGACTTGCAGTATTGTGTGATAAGATGCTTAGAGAAAAAAATGTACATGAAAAAACAACACTTTAGATCATGATGAGTTATTTAAAAAGACACAAATTAGTATTAAATTAATCTGAACATCACAAATAATCTTGTGTATAGTTGGAACAGTATAAAGCACAATGAATATCACAATATATAATTATTTTCACTATTTCGTTTTAAGATCATTATTTTATCTTTTTTTTTCTTGATGGCATCAATTGTACTTTGAGTAAAAAAAATATTTGACATATAATGCTAAAGGGGATCAAGTTATTTCCATTTTATCAATTTAAAATTTTCAAGCATACATGTATTTAACATAAAAAGACATTATTCTTCAAAGTGATAGATTAATTCAAATCTTATTTTTCAAAAGAATGATGAGTTAACAAGAATTAAATAAATCTCAAAAATGTTTCACAAATATATAATTAGAATTCAGATTTTGTCACTAAGAGCTACACCTGGTTTTTTATAGACTAAATGATAAGTTATTGAATTAATTGTAATCATATATTTATTTGTTTTAAGATTTTTGATCTAACATGTGAGAATTTACTTTGTAACTAATATGATAACTGTGCAAAAAGTTTCTAAGAAATCTAACTTAGGCTTTTCTTTAACCTAGAGCTAATTATATAATAACATCTTTAAAGCTAAAGTGATGTGCATATATATTAAAAAATTTTAGTTTGCGTTCTTCAATGAAAACTTGAGAAATAGCACTATTAATCATAAAATATTTTTAATTCAACTCAATTCAAATGATCAACTCAATTGAGCTGAATTCCAATTTTAGCTTTATAGAAATTTTAATTTTAACCTATTATTGTGTTGTGATATGATCATATGCGATATTCTTCATACTATTTCATCACTTGATTTGTTTCAAAATGTTATGTTTTTTATCATCACATGTAACTTGACAACACTAATCCAAGCTAATCTCAGTAAGAAAATTATTGTACGAAAAGTTATTTTCCTAACTCACACATATTTAATTTTGGCGTTTGATAAAACTATGATTCAATGTAAGAAAGATATTTGACTTATGCATTCATCTTACAATAAAAAATGATATAATATTAATTTATAGATACTCTAATTATATTAACACAAAATATAAACTATTTTAAAGTTTGTAATAAAAAATATATATAAATAAAGAAGGTGAGATGTTTTGAATCACTTTAAAATGTTACTTTTTTATTTAACAATACAAGTTCTAGTATTTGAAATGTATATGTTCACATATACCATAATTTGAACAATATATATCAAATTCATATTATTATATCCATGATATTATCTACCATCTTATTATTGTGAAAAAATATTTAATTTTGAAAAATTTGAATTCATATTGAATTGTGATAAGCTTAAAATGTGTTGTATAGTAGTATAAAATTTCTTAAAATTTTCATGTAAAACATATTAAGCACATGATGGATACATTTTGATTGAATTCAATCATCAATTTTTACTATTCAAGTTTTCATGAATATTCATATCTTATTTACTTGTAAACTTATCCAAAATGTTTTAATTTGGATGCAAATTTCAATTAATTCTTGCACTTTTTGATGCAAAATCATTTTGTTTGTCAAAATAAAATTTCATTTGTAAAGTATACTAAAATATTAAAAATAAATTATTATTTTTAAATTTTGAATGAGACAAAATTCATGAAAATTGTGTATTTGTGATGCCTAGTTTTTTTGTTTTTCTTCAAAAATTAAAAAAACTTAAATATATTTGTGTAGAAGCTAGACATGTGAGTTAGAATGAGTAGCTTTAGAGTAGTTATGATAAGATTAGCTAGTATTTGCTTATGGCCGAAGATCTTCGGATCTTCGGTGCAGCCTTTTCTTGACAGTGTAAGATCTGAGTCTTTGGCGAAGAAGGGAGACTCTTCGACGAAGACATCAAAATCAATTCGAATTGCGTAACGGGCCAGAAGACGTTCGCATGCGTCGAGGATTCTACTGGCCGCGGGAGGAGGCAATGTTAGGGCATCGAGGGAAAAGCAAAGGCAAAAGCGAGTGCGCCGACATTGCGACACCGAACGAGAGCAAGCGAGGATGGAAGCGGAGAGATCGATCGACCTCAATTCTAC